CCCATCCTGCAGGGCATGGCCCACCTGCCCATGGTGGCAGGACCGTTGTCGCCACCTCCGCTGGCCTCGTCTTTCCAGAACATGGGGAGCAGTGCCCCCACTTTGGGCACCAAAAGGGGCCGGGGACGTCCTCGCAAAGCAAATCTTTTAGACTCCATGATGTTTGGTACCCCCGGGGGCCTGCGAGAGGCCGGCATCCTTCCTTGTGGTCTCTGTGGGAAAGTGTTCACAGATGCTAATCGCCGAGCAGTGCCCCCACTTTGGGCACCAAAAGGGGCCGGGGACGTCCTCGCAAAGCAAATCTTTTAGACTCCATGATGTTTGGTACCCCCGGGGGCCTGCGAGAGGCCGGCATCCTTCCTTGTGGTCTCTGTGGGAAAGTGTTCACAGATGCTAATCGCCTACGGCAGCATGAGGCTCAGCATGGGGTGACCAGCCTACAGTTGGGTTACATAGACATCCCACCACCAAGACTTGGTGAAAATGGGGTGCATGGTCAGGACAGTCCTGATGCCCCCCGAAAGAGGAGCAGGATAAGGAAGCAGGTGGCCTGTGAGATCTGTGGCAAGATTTTTCGGGACGTGTACCACCTGAACCGGCACAAGCTGTCACACTCCGGCGAGAAGCCGTATTCTTGTCCAGTGTGTGGGCTGCGGTTCAAGCGGAAAGATAGGATGTCCTATCACGTTCGGTCTCATGATGGCTCTGTGGGAAAGCCCTACATTTGCCAGAGCTGCGGAAAAGGTTTCTCCAGGTAAAAGGATGTTGATGTGAATCATAAATGGAAAAGACCTAGAGGGTTATCTAACCCATCTCTTGAGGACCAGTGTAGAATCATCCATATGCTGCTAGTTTTAAATATCCCAAGTGATGGAGCTTTCATCGCTTCCCTTGGGAAACTGTTTTGCAGCCTTGTGGAAGGGTTAACTATTAAGTCATAAGGGGAGTTGGATCAGTCTTGGGTAACATTCCCAGTTTTGATATAGACTTGGTGTGTAATGGTGGGCAAGTGATTCATCTGTGAATTGAAATAATTGGGTACCTGAGAGAGGTGTTCTGTGGATTAATTATGAGCTGTGAAGTGGTTTGAAGCCCTCTACTGCAAGTTGCTATTGAAGTGCAAAGTATTAATAGATCTTAAAATGACTTGTAGACTGTTCATCAGTAAAGTTTTCCTGTCTTAACTTCACTCCATTTGTCCTACTGTGTGAAGAAGTGGTATTTCAGAGTCTGCAGTTACAGCTATCTCTTTAGTACATGGTCTTTGTGTTTACAGTCTCCTGAAGGGTATCCTGTTTCTAACCTGCAGCATACATAAGATCTGTATGTTTAATGTGGCTGATATTTGTTGTCACTTAAGTGAACTCCCACAAACAATTGGATCTTAGACACAAGCCATATTAAGGCAGTATCAATGTTTTGTTTTGAGTTCAGGAATGAGTTTGAAACTTGGGTCTTTCACAAATTCAATGCCCAAATTGAGGAGAGGGTAGATAAGGGAATAGTCAACACCAGCCTTCCTGTTTCAACAATATCCCTAGCTAATGGATCTGATCTTTTTGGTTTGCCCTGGTTGGTGAGAGAGAGCTGAGATGATAGCCAGAAAGCAGTGAAAATCTGCTTTGGATAAAGGTACCCCAGGAATATAAACATAAAAACCTTTGTCCCTGCTGAATCTGCTCTTGTCATAAGGACAGGGGTTTTTTGCTATACAAACAAACTCTATGACAAAAAGGAACTCTCCAATAATGGGCAAGTTCAGGGATGTTCTAAGACAACAGATTTCAAGGTGATGCTGTTTCTGTATCAAGTTTAATCACCATGAGGAGTTAAAGGCACTTTTGAGTCCTGTACCTGCACATGAGATCCCCTGCCAGTTTTTATTTTCCAAACGCACTTAAAAAAAGAAGAGAATCTCCCTGTTGTTGCTATGCTGAAAGACTTTCATGCATAATATAAAGTAACTGATTCTCTGAGGTCCTGAAAATTCAGTGCTCCCATTGAGTTCAGAAAGCCAGGGTCTAATGTTAAAAAGGAAACAGTGAAAATGTCTATATGCCTTCATAAAATAAAAATCTGAAAAAAGAGGATCTTACTTTTCCTCTAGTCTTCTAGTTTTAGTAATCTTAAGTGTTATACCAAGGTGGGTAAACAAATCAGACAGAAGTGTGATGTTTAATTTTACAGTACACATTTATTTCAGGGGTGATCAAAGGGCCTGGCCCGCCCCGGGGGCCGCCCTGCCACTCCCCCATCCCCAGACCAATCAGGACCTGGGGGTGGGGGAGCGCGCGAAGTCTCCTCGCCCCTGCAAGAGTGTGCGGTGGCTAGAGACACACACCGGCTGTTTTAAAACCGCTGGCTTTTATCTCTAGGGGCCGCACACCTTTGGTGGGGGGGCAGGGGGAAGCTTTGCACTCTCCCCGTCCCCAGGCCAATCGGCAACAACAGAATGTTGTATAACCAGATACCCCCACCCCAGAGGCAGCTGCCTTTGCACACTGGGCGAGGGGCTTGTAGTATTAACCAGGGGTGGGCAATAAGTTTTGCAGAGGAGCCATTTCACAAACTGGTTTGTGATCATGGAGCCTCCCAGAAGGGTGGGGCCTCAGTCAGAAGAGGTGGTTCCCCCTAGGTGCCATGCCTCCTGGAAGGGGAAGAGACTTTGTGCTCCCCCTGCCCTGCCAGGGGTATGCAGTGCCTAGAGGGAACTGCCAGCTGTCTTTAAAACAGCTGGCATTTCTCTCCAGGGGGCGGGGGAGGGAGGGGGAAGACTTCTTGCACTCCCCCACCCCAGGCCAATCAGGGTAGGGGGAGAAGCACAAGAAGTCTCCTGGCTGGCCCCGCCCCTTCCGCCTGAGGCCCCTCTTTTAAAAATCATTGACCACCCCTGCTTTAGTTCAAGGATTGGTTCAAGGGGCATCCCTGAAGTTCATAGGTATGTACTAAGAATTTAAACCTCTGACTGGTCTTTCCAGTTAAACAGTCCCAGCCCACCTGCCCAAGCATCAGGTTTAACAGCTTAACTGTGGCGTTAACTCTGTCTTCTGTCTCCAGAGAATGAATTCCACCCAGCTCTCTCTGGCTGGCTGAAAGTTGGGGGAGGAAAGGAGGAGAATTAGTTTCCGAGCAGCTTTGGTCTCATACAACGAAAAGCTTTCTTCTTACCCGGAGGAACACCCACTAGGAAAATCGTTAGCTATTCAGGCTTCCCTCCTTCAAAACATGCTTTACAAATTTTGGGGACTGGACTAACTTCTTTCAATAATAATTTGCTTTTCCGTAGCATCTTCTGTCTGAGGCCCTCAAAGTATTTTACAAACATAAATTATGCATCACAGCATAGTTGTAAGGGAGGACAATATTTTTCCATACTATATATGAGGAAATTGAGACACAAAAGTAGAACTTAATGCCAAATTTTTCATACTAGGGCACCTAAAGTTGGATTCCTAAATCCTTATTTGGACACCTAAATCAAGGTGTCCTGACTTTAAAACACTCAGCACTTCACACACTGAGGTCAATGATTTTGGTGTCCAGATATGAATTTAGAAGTCCAACTGTAGGCATCCCCGTGTGAAAATTTTGATCTAAATTTTCTGACTTTCTTGATTAGAAAACAGTATTTCCTTGCCGAGGGATGGCAGAATATCAGAGTAGAGCTCTAACTGTTTCTGATCTTTGTCTACTGAAGTAAAATATAATGGGTTGCTTGAATAACCTGGAGTCCAGATACACCAGAGAGAACTCTTCTTGGAGCAGATGCAACAGTAGCATCTAATTTTAATGTTTGTTTTGAAGTGTGTGTGTGTGTGTGTGTGTGTGTGTGTGTATACATATACATATATAAATACATATATATTTTTTTAAGGCCAGATCACTTGAATGGGCACATCAAACAAGTGCACACGTCAGAGAGACCTCATAAGTGTCAGGTAGGAGCAGGGGTATAAAAGAGGGTTAATATCTTTTTATTTTAAAAATGGGCAATGAATGTACGTGTGCGCGAAGAAAGATCAAACATTGATAGAAATATTATGTATATTATGAACTGAGATAAATATGTAACTAATTATGTTAAAAAAACTGACAGCTGCTTTACAGTCTTCTCTCTACCCTCCCCCCACTACTCCCTGTTGTCATCTCCTGCTACTCTGGTCCTGCCTCCCCTCCCCCTCTACCAGATGTTCTTTTTTGCTGCTCTATCCCAGTCCCCACCCTGGAAATCTTACCCCGCTGTTTTGTCCCTGGATGTCTCAAATGATGTCCTTTTTCTCTTCTGTAGTTGTGGCCACTAACACGAGACTCAAATTCTGACTTCAATTTTTTAATATAATTTCAAATACAATTGTTTAGCTTCACTTGCTGTGAAGCTCTTTGTATCACATAGCTTTCAGAACATTGCACTGAGCAAAACTTGAAGCTTTTTTCAGCAAGTATATGAGTGATACCAGCACAGTATCCTTTGAAATGCAGTTTAATATCAGCTTATATAGTTCTTTACAGTTAAACAATAAGTCGTTGGTTAAGGTTTAAAAAAAAACCAAATCAAGATTAACCTTTTATAATCCATTTGTGAAGCGGGTGGGAGAGTGTTTTGCTCAGATGCCTGTTAACCAGTTTCCATTACAAGACCCTGTCTTCACACACTTGTAACTTTCAGAAATATATATCTCTTGGGCTAAAATTTTCATGTTTGGTCTCTGAAGGAAGGTGCGGGGGCCACTTGGCAGCTCCAGCCCAGTGGGCTGGAACGGTCCTACTGCTTGTCCCCATTTAATCAGGTAACCAGTTAAACTTAACATTTAATCAGTTAACTAATTAAACAGGATTTTACATCCCTAACATACAGACATATGCACTAAGCCTACAATGCTGGTAGAAACTCATCAGTCTTTGACCAGCTGGTGTGAAGCTTACAGAAAATGTGCAATTGACTAATAACACTGATAAGCACTAATTGTCCTTTGCTAACTGGTAACTGTTAGGAAACAAATGTTCTTTAGTATTAAATGTTAACAACTAAATTCATGTGAATTTAAGGGTGCATTGAGCACTCAAAAGTCAAGACATGAAAGTTAAGGTTTGACAAACGATCTTAACTCTACCCTTTACACATATGGATTACATGAGCACAGTTTCTTAGAATAATCTCCTTTCTCTAGAATTGTAGAAAGTGCAGCGAGGTATTGTATAATAAAATGGCATAATTAATTGTTATTAGGATGATGACAGAGTTATGGTAGCGAATTAAACAGTAGCTTATGCTTGACTTTTGACTGCTTAATTGTTCATAATTAATGTTGCCATAATAAAGTGTAGAAGATTTTGCTGAAGGCCTCACACCCACACAGATACACACCACAGAAAGGATACTTTCATTCTGGAAAAGTGCTCTAAATTTGTTTCAGATCTGAAATATATACAAATGTGGCTTTCAGTCTAGTTATCTCCTGAGCAATGACTTTCCCTTCCATAGAGAATTATCTTTCTTAGTCACCAACTTTGGGCACTGAGGAACAAAATAGCTCAATATTGACATGTTATTTCTCCATATCCCACCACCATTTTTCCTTGTTTTGTCTTAGAAATCAGTGAAGCTGTTTTAGGGTGTGTCTAGACTACAGGGTTTTGTCGACAAAAGTGGACTTTTGTCGACAAAACTATACCTGCGTCTACACTGCCGCTGAGTTCTGTCGACATAACATCAACAGAACTCAGCAGTTTTGTCGACGGCTGTAAACCTCATTCTACAAGGAATAACGCCTTTTGTCGACAGAGTTCTGTCGAGAGAAGGCGTTATTGCATCTACACTGTCCTTTGCGTCTACACTGTCATGTTGCTTTGTCGACATAAGCCCTTTTCTGGAGGATTTCTTATTCCTACTTTCAAGTAGGAATAAGAAATCCTCCGGAAAAGGGCTTATTTTCCGGAGAATCGCGTCTAGACTGGCGCTTTTCTCCGGCTTATCCCCGAGCCAGAAAAAAGCGGCAGCCATGTAAATGCAAATGCCGCGGGGGATATTTAAATCCCCCACGGATTTGCAATTCCGACTCGTCTCATTAGCATCCCTTTTCCAGAAAGGGATGCCAATGTAGACGTAGCCGAGCTGGCAAGTTAACTTCAGGGCAGCTAAAATGAAGTTGTGGTGAGGAAGAGATGGTTATGTGCTAAATGCCGCTCATATTGGTCGCTGTTGGGACTAATCAGCACACAACGCTGTCTTACCTCACTTATAAAGAGAGCTTGTCTCTGCAGACAAGCATCTGATTCTACCTTTTTACTTCCTCTTAAAACAGACATTGAATGGGGAAGGAAGCCCTCTACAGAGCCACGTAATCTGAGAAATCAGATCCAATAAGTTGCTTTGGTGTCCAAGGCAGACACCAAATGGAACTCTGGATACTTTTCTCCCTGGTAACATTTGAAAATTTTAAATCTGTCAATTAAGTGCTTGACATGGGAGAAGGGGTAAGTCAGTTTGCTGGCCGTAAGGGGATAGTTCAGGTTGCTGCCCTGGAGTCCTGAGATAATCCACTCAGTTGCTTGAGTGCCTACTTTGTAGGGATTGGTACTAATGTCAGGCTGCAGGGTGAGAGGAATGATGGTTTAAAAATACCGTGGACTGAAATAGCAGAGAAAGATTGGGGGAGAGAGATCAGAGATTCGTTATTTCTCAGGGAAGAAGGCACAGATTGTCCTCCTTCAGCTGACAGTTCTAGGTAACATCTGGTAATTCAAATAAAGAAGAGAAAATGCAAGTTGTTAAAAATCAAACTACATTTACTTAAACAATACAAATAAAATCTATTTAATGAAATTTACCTACAATTGGTGCTCCAAATCCAGTGCTTTCCCCCTTGATTTCAGTGCAAAATGAGTTTCTTCCTGTCCTAATTTCTCTTACTTCCTGCCTATTAGCAGGAAAATGGCAGCCACCATGGAATAAGCTCAGAGACATCCACAGCCATAGAAAAGTTGAAACTTCAAGAGGTATTTCTTAAACAATGTTACTTTAAACTTTTTTATATATTCTTTTTTTGGTCTATTTATCTACCTATGCAGTGTTTGATAGGAAAGCACTGGAGTTTTCCTTTATTATTATTAACAATATACTTAGCACCCATTTCGCACTTTACATCTGTAAAGCCTTTTACAAACATTAACTAATATTAACTGTAAGAGGTTTTCTCCAAACCTGGTCCTGTCTCCCTTGTATGATTCAGCTAAACTGGTTTTTGCTTTCTCAAATGGACCTTTTTTTTTTTTTTTTTTTTCTCCTTCAAGTCTGATCAGTACATAGATTATCTGGGAACGGACTCTAGAAAAATTAGCAGCAAGTCTGATAACCAAACAGAAATATGATGGCATTACACCCACCATAAGCTTTCCACTTGATCTCTTCAATGTAGGATAGATGATGGTTTTAATTCTAACACATGAAGATTTGTGTAGTTTATCTGTAGTCTGTAATAGAACTGATGCCCAGATATTCCCGCTGCATTTATACACAAGCTTGCTATCACTTGATATTGAATTATTGGTGATAGAGCTTTTGACTTTCATACTCTACTGCTCAGGAATGCACATTAACTTTATCTCCAACAGGTTGATTTGTTGTTGGAATCTTGATTTAATGACTTATTTGTTTCCAGTAGCATTTTGCTAAATGAAACCTACACCTATTTTGCTCAGCGCTGTGTCCTGAGAGTTCATATGAGAAGAAATCTTTCATGTTAAAGAAATTACTTTTTTTTTCCCCCCATCATCATTTGTGACATAGGAGTCTTTCTCTAATGAGGTCAGTGAAATTCCATATATCACAGTAATCCATATTTGTGTAACTGTTTTTTAAACTATACTAGCAGGCTGTGCCCCATGCTTGCTGCACTTGCCAACCCCCCTCTCTCTGGTAGCTTTCGCAGCCAGAGAGTGTGAGAGCGTGATGATGTCATTCTGTTGCGCGGAAAGAAAAAGGTTTTTATATATAGAGAGAGAGAGATTAGGCACTGATCCTGCAAGGTACTGAGTGTTCTGTTTGGTGCAGAGTACCCACAACTTCCACTGAAATGCAGTCAGTGGAAGAGCAAGAGTACTTAGCACCTCCCAAGATTGACCTTTAGAGCCTGATCGAAAGCCTACTGAAGTCAATATGCACCTTTCAAAAAACTTTAGTGGACTTAGGATCAGACAATTAGGGAGAGCTACATAAAATTCTACACATGATTGTCGTATTGCCACTTTCATTTATTTTAAGCTACTATGTTGTAATTGTAGTGCAGTAGTTATGTTATCTTAACAGAATCTACTTTACAGTGAAACAGCTGTCTGAAAAGTAAAGCACTAATTCTTTATATGACAAAAAGCTAAAATTCCCATTCCCCAGAACACTTACTGAGCTAATAAAATCTCCTAGGGGGGCTGTGGTATAAACCATGTGTCTCAATTATTCACCTAAAGGGTGCTGTGCGATAAGTTAGTCACAGCACAACCTTGAATTTTGTTACTTTCATCCACCTGGTCAGGTCACACTGATATTTCTGGTTTTCTCTGTCCTCCATTGGTGAGCAATAGTTCAGATGGCATTTTTTATGTGAAATGTTGGTAAAGATTTGACAGCTTTAAGGTATATTCTGCTAATAATATGATCAGCCTTGCAAAACTGTCAAAAACATTATAGTCCAAGCACGAAATCTGCTTGCCTGTCCTCTGCTATGATGATGATGGAGGGTGGGGACGGAGGTCTTACTCACCTGTAAAATTATTTCCCTGGGGTGAATGGGCAAGTAGAATTTTGCAAAGCTGACATGTATAGTCATTGTTTTACACTACATTAATCTTGGTGCATAGTAGTAACTGGAGTATGACACCATAACAGAGATCAAGTTATCCAGTGTAAACAGAGTACACAGTAGGGATGTTAAAATACATTTATTTGTGTAAATGTGTAGCTGCTGAATTTTTTTAGCAGTTACACATTTAAATGCAGAGAGGCAGCAAAAGTCGGCTCCCCGCGTGTACCGGCTCCCACCTTCTCTTCTCTT